AAGTGTTTTAAGTGTACAACATGTGGAAATTTTTACCCTACCTCCGCAAGGCTTCGTCAGCACATGCGCTGCCATTCACAAGAACGACCGTATGCCTGTGGTAAATGCGGACGTGCTTACAAACATAACTGTCATCTTAAGATGCATACTTGTTCTGCTGCAGGCAATAAATGATATATACCAGGAGTCGCTCCAAACTGTCAAGTTTTGTCTTAAGCTTGCTTTTTAGCATGACAAAAATGCAGTGAAGTTGGGGCACTTTAAAGAGATTTCTAAGGAACACTGTAGTCTCTATGTGTTTTGGATTATTTTTGAAATAAAAGGAAAATCTTGGCATTTTCAAACAGCTGTTGTTTTATTTTTATTTGTAGGGAATCACCAGACGATTTTTGACTCTGGACAAGGAATAGGTTACCAGATTGGGCAGTTCGACATTAGCCTCTCATTCTGTCCAATTTGTGGAGTAGATTTTGGCACTGAAGTTGCTAAATCACAGCATGATGCAGAAACACATGGTGTAAAAGCATTCTGCAAGATTTGTGGAAAAGGGTTTAAGACTTTGCTAGGGTTTAAAACTCACCAGAAACAACATGATATATCTCAAGGGAAGACCAGTGACTGTTTTAAATGTGATACGTGTGGGAATTTCTTTCCTACACAATCTCGGCTTCGTCAACACATGCGATGCCATTCTGATCTTAGACCCTATGTCTGTAACAAATGTGGACGGGGCTACAAGCACAATTGTGATTTGAAAAATCATTCATGCCTTGCTGAAAATGTAGTATAATGAAGTTTCATTTTGAGACATGGGAGTGTGTTACTCTATTGAAGAGCTCTGAAATCAAAGGCATTGGCAGGATTTAAAAAAAAAAAAAAAATGTTCATTCAAACCATTTATTTATTTGTATGTAACAAAATTATTTGTTTCAGAAAAAAGGACCAGACCATGAATATTTACAAAAAATAAGGAATAAAAGAGTCCATAGCAATTCATTAAAAGAATTTTATTCTTGTACTTGTAGGGCAAAGCTTAATGCCAGAAATGGAAGGCAGCTCTTTCAATATGGACAACTATATGGGCATGTTGGATTTAACTGGTCCTCAAAGCAAACACACTAGTTGTCTCAATGAAAGTGATAAGTCGCGGTTAGGAGACTCGACAGTGGTTGCAACATGCAGTTTATGCCACAAAGAATTCAAGTCTCTCTGGGGATTTAAGTGTCATAAAAAGATACATGCTATTTCTCTTGGTCGCCCAGATGACTGCTTTAAATGTTTTGAGTGTGGGAAATTCTGTCAGTCTGTATCACACCTTCGGCGTCACATGCGCTGTCACTCTCAGGAGAAACCGTTCAAATGTGGAAAGTGTGGGAAGGCTTACAAGCATAACAATGGCCTCAAAGTCCATCAGTGTCGCTTTTCAAGTGTTCCTAGTAGTTTTGTGTATCAGAAATGAAGGACGGTTGAGAATATACCTAATCAAATGATAAATAGTAAAAACAAAATGGTGAAAAAGTATCTCCTTTTGTACTGCAGTGAAAGCATGTTGCCTTGTGAACAGATCTTATTTGATATATCCTACTTGAGGTTTGCTTTCAGACATTTAATAGTACAAAAATCATTCACAGGTCTTTGTTTGGTGTCTTTGTAGGTTTCAAGGATGAAAAAACGCTTGGCTCCTATGTTATTGAGGGGATGCGTGAATCAGCCAGTGATATGTCCAGATTGAGTTGTGAAAGTTGTGGCATTTATTTTAACAGTGAAAGTGAAAAATCAAAACATCTGTCATTAATACATGGATCTGATCTGTATACGCACCAGTCAACAGGCAAAAATGTGAAGTCATCCGGATTACTATGTAAAAGCTGTGGCATTTTATTTAACACTGAAAATGAGAAAGTGCTTCATATGGGAACTGTTCACAAATCAAACAAGAATAAGAATGTTGTTGCAACCTGTAATATTTGTGGGAAAACCTACAAGTCCATTTGGGGCTATCGCTACCACCAGAAGAGCCACCAACGCTCTTTTGGTAAAACTAGTGGCAGTTGTCAATGTAAAATTTGTGGCAAGTTTTTTCAGTCTCTGTTTTACCTCCAGCGTCACTTGAAGAGTCATTCGACAGAACGACCCCATTCTTGCCAAAGGTGTGGGCGGTCTTATAAACATAGTAGTGGCCTAAAAATGCATCAGGCCTCATGTTATAAACAAATGTATTCACATACATCAACATGGGGGCCGTGACAATGTTGTACACAATGCCATTGTTTCATGAGGTGATCCAGAGGCCACGTGTGATAATAAAAAATGGAGTGACCTTGAGGACTGATGGTTTTACGAATATATCAAATTTTTTCTAATATTTTAATGATAACTATTAGCATTGTTAAGTTGAAGTGTAACCAGTAAGTTTTGCTACTTGCACAAGATATTACAAAATAAATATTTAATCAGCTTCAGAAAGTTTTTGTGGGCGTTAGTTTTTTTTATATGGCTGTATACAATTATTTCCAATAGCTTGTCAATGGCAGATATACTTAAAGGGCACTGCTTTGTCTTTCTAGGTTCTGTGAAGGGTGGTGCCTCAAGTGTTTTAGACGGATTGATAGAACAGCCTGATGGAAAGATATGTTGTAATGTTTGTGGTCTCAGTTTTGTAAATAAGAATGATCTTTTAATACACATGGCACAAGTCCATCAGAATATTGCAGGAACTTGTAAACCGTGTGAGAAAAGTTTCAAGTCCAGTTGGGGCTATAGGTATCATATGAAACTTCATGAGCGATCAATTGGATTGACAGATTCTAATTGTTCCTGTCAAGTGTGTGGAAAGTCTTTCCAATCCTTGTCTTATCTGGAGAGACATCTGAGAAGTCACTCGTCGGAACGACCATTCCCATGCCCCGATTGTGGACGAGCATATAAACATAAATTTGCTTTAAAAAAACATTCATGTCCTGGAAAAGATTTTGTGTCTCCTTGGTAGATAAACAGCTTCAATGCCAAATTATACGTTATCAAGCCATAATCTTGGCTGGAGTTGGAGGATTAATGTCAAGTGTGCAATGTCTAGTCTTTGTGGCCACATATTGTTTATCAAAAAAATTTATAAGAGGATGGACAGAGGTAGTTTTATGGAAGGAAGTAGTGAATAATCATTATCATGGCATTGTCCTCAAGCATTTTCAGAATTTGATGACATAACCTATTTTCAACTCTAAAATAGTTATGTTTATATCTCCAAGACCCTATTTGCATAATTTTTCTGTAATAAAAAATCAAAAGATGTTTTAATTATAGGGCCTTTGTTTGGTGTCTTTGTAGGTTCAAAGGAAGACGGAACTTTGAGGTCCAGTGTTATAGAGGGAATTATAGAAACGTCAAATGGAAAGATTTGTAATATTTGTGGTCTAAGTTTTTTGAATGAGGACACTCTTTTCTTACATGAGTCACAAGTACATCAAATTGATCACTACATTGCAGGCACTTGTAAGACCTGTGACAAAAGTTTCAAGTCCATCCAAGGCTATCGGTACCACATGAAACTTCATGACAGGTCAGCTGGTATTACTGATTCTAGCTATCCATGCAAAGTATGTGGAAAGTTTTTCCAGACACAGTTCTACCTGGATAGACACTTGAGGAGTCACTCGTCAGAACGACCCTTCTCGTGTAACAATTGTGGGAGGGCCTATAAACACAAATATGCTTTGAAAAAACATGTTTGTTCTGGAATGGAATACCGCCACGGATTTGAGGGGAACAATAGTTGCAATTTCTGAGCATGATGTGAATGTTGGCCTGGCCGGTAATGAGGAAGCGAATAATTTGGTTAAGCCCTGGTGTTGGCTGTGATTTCACGATTTCCAAATTAAAAGGACAAAAAATGTCTAGTTCCCCTGCATGATATGTAGACATTTCCATCATTGCAGTGTCAAGGAAGACAACTGACTTGTATTTATTTATTTTTTAGGCCAGGAGTTATCTGTCCCTGTCAGAGACATGTCCCTTGGATTATTTAATGATCGGTCACCCAAGCTTGGTGCAGAGATTCCCTGCTTTAGATGTGGACGATTCTTCTTGTGTACTGAAGATTTTCGAGAACATCCCTGTGTTAAAAACTTTGATGACAAAGTGCCGTTTCTTAATTGTTCAAAGTGTAATTTACTATTTTCTAGCAAAGCTGAAAAACAAAGCCATGAGACTCACTGTTCAGATGAGAGTGTGATTGTAGCTACTTGTGATGTTTGTAATAAGACATTTAAGTCCATGTGGGGGTTTAGATGTCATCAAAAAAGTCATGAGAGGTCACTGGGCAACACCAACAACTGCCACGAATGTTCTCAATGTGGCAAGTTTTTCACATCTGGTTCCCATCTTCGTAGACACATGAAGAATCACTCGGAGGCTAGACCTTATGTCTGTGTGAATTGTGGAAAGTCATACAAGCAGAAGTATGACTTGAAAGCACACTCCTGTCCTCTTAAAGCAGGCATTGGACCCCTGTAATGTCAATTAAGTACCCCACATTACAGTCGATGAACACTTTTTGGAATTTTGTGGATTTTGTCAAGTAACTTTTAATGTCAGTGATTTTTTACTGTGTTTTACAGCCAGAAAAAGCAGTTTCCTTGTGTCAAAATGTGCTATTTTCCCATATTAAAGTAAAATGCAAAAATATTTATCAGGAAATAGTATACATTTCACAAATTATAAAGGCACAGGTTGCAGTAAAAAAAACAACCTCTGGACGTCGTAGTCCAGTTGAGGCCAGAAGTGGCCTTTCAATAGGTGATATATTTCTTCCTTTGTTTTTTTTTCAGCTGTATAGATTTTCAGGAGGGAATATTACACAAGTTTTATTACCTTTTGAAACGGTAATTAATGCACAACAAAATTTCAAGGAAATCTTGGGAAAAGTCCTGGTGGTTTCCATATTCCAGCACTTCTGTGTAGGCAGGTCTGGTTTTCACAGGGGCCAGCTTCTCAGCCTCTAACAGTCAGCAAATACTTGTATTAAAACTTTAGTTTTGAAAAAAAAAAATAAAATTCAAAACAAATTTTTGTTTTGTTTTAGGAGGTAATCCAGTATATTTTGACATGAAAGACCATGGTTTGGGAGGACCATCACCCAAGGGGTCAAAGTTCACATCCAACATGTCTTGTGTTTCCTGTGGCCTGTGCTTTTCTTGTGTGGCAGATTTACAAAGTCATTCCTGTGAACAGGCATTGAGAGTTCTAGAGCACGAAATTCAATCTTCAAAATCAAGCTTGAGTACAAAGGAACTTCATTGTGAGTCCTGTAAAATGTTTTTTGAGGACAAAACTGGGAAGGAACAACATGATTTTGTATTTCATAGCCATATGGGAAACAGCAGTGGGATTGATGAGGTGTTTAATGTGTGTAGTTTATGTGGTAAAGAGTACCACTCTCAAGAAGCATTTCGGCTTCACATGTTGTGTCATCAGCCCTCTGACAGCTCCAATAATCCTAAACAAACCTTGCAGTGCAAGTATTGTGGAAAGGTCTTTCAGTTCTTTTCCTATCTGGAACGACACATGCACCGCCACTCGTTTGAAAAACAAAAAGTGTGCGATTATTGTGGGAAGTCTTACAAACATCAGTCGGACCTTAATCGTCACAAACGCAAAAATTGTGTAGTAGCAGCCATGTCAGGCATAGAAACAATTTCATAAAAAAAAGGGAAGCTAATGCAGGTGTATATAGTTCCTTATACCTAAACTAAAACAAACAACAAAAAAGCACAGCGAGTTGTAAGGTATCATGGGTATCTTAGATCAGAAAGATATCGTAAGACATTCGACTCTTCTACATTGTAGTTATGACTTTGTAAGTATTACCAGGATTTTAGTGGGAATGGCTAAAATAAATGGAATAAGAAGAGACCAGGTTTGTTGAGATATGTGATCATTTAGGTTTCCAAACATTGAAGAAGTATTTCAATTTTAAACAGAAAATTTTATTTCATTGTAGGTCATCCAGTACATTTTGACATGAACAAGGAATGTATTGGAGAGTCACAGTTAACAACAGAAAGGTTCACAACAGGCCAATCTTGCAATTCCTGTGGAGAGAGCTTTTCTTGTTTAGAAGATTTACAAAATCATTTGTGCATTATAGATAAAGTAGAGCAGGGAGACAGTGCGTATTCAATCAATTTTAATCCTTCAGGGAGGGTATGGTGGTGCAATATCTGTAAACTGGCTTTTGATGATGGAAAAAAAATGAATTTACATAATTTGACGTCACATACAACAACTGCTGCAATTGGTGAATGCATCCATTGTGGTGTTGACCTCCACTCTCAAGAAGCTTTTAAAATACATATCATGAATCACCCAGCCTCTGAGGGTTACAGACAAGTGTTCAAATGCAAGTACTGTACAAGGTTGCTTTCATTTTTCTCTAATCTTGAGCGGCATATGACTTGTCATTCCGTACAGAAGCCAAATATCTGCAACAAATGTGGAAGATGCTACAAACGCAAACAAGACCTTCACAAACACCAACGAAAACTTAAATGTGTTACTCTGCATGATGTTGACTCTTAGCGGTATCAAAATGATGGTGTGTTGATTTAAAAGTTGTGGAGTTAGAATTTTTTTCCCAACATATCGCTGTACGATGGGGTTTGTCTTTGTTAGAGGCCATTTTGATTTCTATATAGATTTGACAGACTCTGTTATTGGCCTTGGCCAAACATTGTTATGTGTAAGCTTTTGCCCCGCATTTAGTACAAAATTCATTTAAAAAGAAATTTAATCTTTAAAAGAAATGTTAATTAATATTTAGACTTCAGAACCCTGACAATGAAAAATGGGATATATATGGCTTTTAACTCCCTGTATTCTTTTCCTTTATAGGCGAAGACTCCCTGCTTGATCCTACTTCACTGGGTACTATAAGTGAGGGTGGAGGTGATATCTCTGCACATTTATTTCTTAATCCCCAAGTGTCGAATCAAAAGCCCAAAAAAAATCCTGTGAAGATAAAGTGCAAAATCTGTGGAGGAATTTTCAATGATAGGAAGTCAAAAGCACAGCATGAAATGGAGGTACATTCATCTGGTATGGTGGCGTTTTGTCAGGAATGTGACAAGGGTTTTTTCTCGCCCTCTGGATACAAATTTCACATGAGAATTCATGATTCCAAGATTGGAATCTCAGACAGTCCTGAGTGTCCAACTTGTGGAAAGTTCTTCCAAAGCAATGCCCACTTGTTGAGACATATGCGAAGCCACTCTCAAGAGAAACCTTTTTTCTGTGGAATATGTTTTAAAAGTTATAAACATAAGAAAGATTTGATTAACCATAAGGAAAACAGTAACCATACCTGAATTGAACAGTGTTTTGTGACAGTCTGTCATTCCATGTTGAAATAGGAACATCATTGTACAGAAACAGACGAAGATCAGGACTACAAATTTACACATGCAGTATTTCTCCCAGAATTCTACAGTCTTGTTTCAAAATCATTTTCTGGAAAAAATATTCCTTAAATTTGAGACCTAAGAGTCTTTAAGGAATGTTTAGTCAGAACAGTTTTACTCGACCTAATGGTATATTTTGTTTCATTCTAGGAATGGCTTCCTCTTACCTGAATCAGGAAAACTGGTTGAAATCCTATGAGGATGGATTAAATCTTGAAATGGATGTTAGGGAACCGCCCCAGGGGGGTAGTGTTTACGAGTCTCAAATTAATGAGTCTGTAGTTCCTCCTCATACATACCCTCCAGCAGATAATGTTACAGCCCAATGTGATATTTGTGGAAAACATTTCAGGTCCAAACAAGGCTATGACCATCACAGGAAAATGCACTTGTATGCTCAAGGTCAAGGAGAAGGTCCACAATGCAGAATCTGTGGGAAGCATTTTCAAAGTAATGCTCATCTCCAGCGTCATATGAAAAGTCACTCCTCAGATAAAAGTCCAGTGGTAAAGCCAGCTGGTACTAAGAGTATTAAATGCACCCATGAATGCCCCACATGTGGAAAGTTCTTCCAGAGTAATTTCCATGTGATGCGACATATGCGGAGCCATTCGGAGGAAAAGCCATTTTTCTGTGGGATTTGTTTTAAGAGTTATAAACACAAGAAAGACCTGCTTTATCACAAGGAGAGCACAAATCATGTCTGAACTGAGTGACCATCACAGGGAGGGCTTTTTCCCTTAGTACCATTAAGGAACAGTTTACCCAAGGTACCATTAAGGGACAGTTTTACCCCAAGGTACCATTAAGGAACAGTTTACCCAAGGTACCATTAAGGAACAGTTTACCCGAGGTACCATTAAGGGACAGTTTTACCCCGAGGTACCATTAAGGGACAGTTTTACCACGAGGTACCACCATAAAATTCTGTAGAAATATATGTATCTATTGCTTTTGTAACTTTCCTGTAGTGATAATGTTAGAAAGGATAGAAAGTTTTCCTAATAGTTTACAATGCCTTCAAATCAATTTATGAAAGCATCATGTAAAAGTTTTTCTTCTATTCTACCTAATGGCACATTTTGTTTCATTCTAGGGATGGCATCCTCTTCCCTGAATGAGGAAAACTGGTTGAAATCAAATGATGGAGGACTAAATTCTAGTGTGGAGGGGGGGTTTGTGTATCGATCAACTCTCAGTGACTCGGTAGTAACTCCTGTGTACGACCGATTCACTAATATCTCGTCAGAAAATGGCAGCGACATTGTGGCTAAATGTGATATTTGTGAGAAGAGCTTCAGGTCCATGCGAGGGTTTGAACTCCACAGGAAAATGCACATGTATGCTGAAGGTTGCATTAATGGTCCACAATGTAGGATCTGTGAAAAACACTTCCAGACTAAAGCACACTTAAGACGTCACATGAAAAGTCACTCATCTGAAAAACCACATGTTTGCTCAATCTGTAACAAAGCCTACAAACACAGAAAAGATCTTGCCCTTCATTCAAAACAAAGTCATGTGTGATTCAATCATAAGGAAAAAAAAGAAGAAAAAAAACCTCTGGTCGTGAACAGTTTGGAACAAGTAGATTCTCCCCACCTGTTATCATTAATTTTCAGCTAGCAATATGATAGAGATGTAGTGTACTATGGCGTTCCTTAGTTTATAGGAGTTAAATCTTCCATTAAGATATTATCAACATCCTGAATATACCTCTATATCATTATGATCAAAATAGAATGAAGGTAAATCAAGTAACAACTATGTAGATTCAGGAGTTCTTATGCCTGTAAACAGAAACAAGGAGTTCTTGTATTAAGACTTTCTAAAGCCACTTGAGTTTGAAAGTTGGTCAATTCCATCATTGTACTGAATAAGCTTTTTGATGGCTTATTTGATTAAAAAATATATACCAAGGTATTTGCATTATCAATACAGAAGTGTGTGTTGACAATTTCAGAAAGTTTAAATTATTTTTTTTATTTTTACATCTTGGTATTTTATTATCTTTTCTAGGCTTACATATTGCCCCTATGCCCAGAGCCCCGAGCCATGTAGTCGAGGCCATTGAGGCATTCACTAGTCAGCAGGCAACGCAGCCCTGTCCTGAGTGCGGACTGACCTTTCCCTCGCTTGACCTGCTACAGAATCACTTGACCCTTCACCCCATGTCTGCTTGGTGTGTGTGCTCAGACTGCGGAGCCATTCTCCGGGATAAGGCAGAGCTTAAATCTCATCAACAACTTATGCATGACTTTGTTGCCTACTGTGAACCGTGTCAGAAAGGCTTCAAATCTGATAAAGGTCACGAGTTTCACCTGAAAATGCACGAGGGTAATGAATCACTTCCTAGGTGCGAGTTGTGCATGAGGTGCTTTCAATCTCGAGCACATCTTAAACGTCATTTGCGCAGTCATTCAGCAGTCAAATCTTGTGTTTGTCCAGATTGTGGCCGTTGTTACAAACACAATTTTGACTTGACCAGACACATGCGTATTTGTAAACATGGACCATCTATTAATTTTGATGGACCACTTTGAAAGGTCAAGCATCACCATAAATTATACTAGGGTGTGGAGAAACTGATTGTAAAAGATAAATATAATGAAGTCAGATCTGATATGTAATGAAAGGGTGTTGAGAAAAAGTGTTTAAATATTGGACTGGGATATCCTGTGAAAATAAGTTTGTCATTGTGTGTCAGAATATTAAAGTGTTGATTATTATGTAAATATAAAGTTCAAATTTATATTGTTGTAAATTCTTTAGAAATGTTGAAAATACTTTGCTGTAACAGAAGCTTGTAAGTTGGATTCATTTTGTTTGATTAAAATTAGAGATTTCATATGTTGGATTATTTTTGTTTGAATAAAATTAGATGTTTCACTTATGCTGTAGTTCGTTATAATATATAAAGTAACTAAAGATAAAGAAAAGCTTACTTATATGTGACCTTAAGAAAAGATGTGTTAAGTGTATAAAGTGATATTAAGACAAAAGATATAAAGTGTGTAAAGTGATATAAAGACAAAAGGTGTTAAGTGTAGAAAGTGACATTAAGACAAAAAGTGTTAAGTGTGTAAAGTGACGTTAAGACAAAAGATATAAAGTGTGTAAAGTGATATAAAGACAAAAGGTGTTAAGTGTAGAAAGTGACATTAAGACAAAAGGTGTTAAGTGTGTAAAGTGACGTTAAGACAAAAGGTGTTAAGTGTGTAAAGTGACGTTAAGACAAAAGGTTTAAAGTGACATTAAGACAAAAGGTGTAAAGTGTATAAAGTGACATTAAGAGAAAAGAGAATTTATCTTCATGAAAGAAAAGGTTGTTGTAGCTTCACTTGTAAAACATCCCTCCATTCATTATGGGGAAAAAAGACTATGCACCCACCTTTCACTAGTAAAATTTATATCCTGTCTTTTTGAACATGCACTCTCTTTATCAATTAAAATATAGTATTGGCTTATCATGTGTACATAATCCAAGTCCTAATCACTATATCTATTACTACACTAAGAGCTTCGATCATTTTGCCTTCCATACCAATTATATAGAGAGTGGCACATTTTCATGTTGTTTTCCTCTCTTCCGTAGGGGCTCAGGGTACAGTTGGGGCCCACCGAGGGATCGATCCAGGTTTAAAGTGCTCAATGTGTGGAATTAATTGTCATCCCTCAGATATCTCCTGCTCTGACCTCAACAGTGACTTAGTCATGTGCAAACACTGCCAAATACCCTCGCAATATAAGTCAGTATCAAAGGGACACTTAAGTTGTCCTAAATGTGGCAAACTTTTCCTGTACGATTCATTGTTACAGAGACACCTGCGGACACACTCATCAGTAAAACCTTTTGTGTGTTGGGGGTGTGGCAGATGTTATAAATATGCTTTCCACCTGAACTTTCACATGAAGACTTGCAAGGAATTTGGAAGTAAAAATGAAACTGAATTTATTCACTAAATACAACATGATCACAAGGTCAGTGTCTACCATGTGTATGAAGTCTTTCATGTTGAGACTCCATGGATCATGGCTTTATCAACTGCTGTTTCTTAGCGGAATCAAAAATACAAATATGATGAGAATAGTTTTATGAAAATTCTAAAGATACAATAAAATAAGAAGAAAGATGGGGGTGTCCTATCTCGGTGAAGAATAGGGGGGTGTCCTATCTCCGTTGAAGAAGAGAGGGGTGTCCTATCTCCGGTGAAGAAGATGGGGGTGTCCTATCTCCGTTGAAGAAGAGGGGGGAGTCATATCTCCGGTGAAGAAGAGGGGGGTGTCCTATCTCTGGTGAAGAAGAGGACACAAATATTAAGGACTTTGTCCTTTACACCATGTCTTTCCTTCCTCAGATATGTCTTGTCTGTTTGTGTGACATGTTCTTTCTGTCTGAGCCTAAAACCATGTACGTTGGTGTGACATGTTCTCCGTCTGAGCCTAAAACCACTGTGTGTTGGTGTGATATGTTCTTACTGTCTGAGCCTAAAACCATGTACGTTGGTGTGACATGTTCTCCGTCTGAGCCTAAAACCACTGTGTGTTGGTGTGATATGTTCTTACTGTCTGAGCCTTAAAACCATGTGTGTTGGTGTGACATGTTCTTCGTCTGAGCCTAAAACCACTGTGTGTTGGTGTGATATGTTCTTACTGTCTGAGCCTTAAACCACTGTGTGTTGGTGTGATATGTTCTTACTGTCTGAGCCTTAAAACCATGTGTGTTGGTGTGCATCGTCTCGTTGATGAACATCAGTGTTGTGGCCAGTATGCCAACTACAACCTTACACTTTAAATGTCACCTCTGTGGTAAGGTGTGGTCATTGGATTCTTATATACAAAAGGCACATGATGACTTGTGTCTTAATACACATATTAGGAGCTGCATGCAACCTAGAACTAGAAAACACTTTGGAAGCTGTGTTGTTTACCTGGAATGGTGAATTGATATTCCTTTAGCTTGGAATTCTGCTAGCTGTGAATATGTTGCCACTTTCACTTTGATCAAGAAGATCCATACAAATGTTTGTTCAAAGTCAGGAACTTAAAGCTTTGTAGAAAATATTATTTCCAAAAGGTGGGGGCGTCTCTTTGATAGTTTCACATATGTGAAGTAGTGTGATTTGTAGAGAAGATAATAAGCTGGTTTCTTTTTCTTCGGACAGAAATAATAGATTTTCTTCTTATTTTGGATTTTCTTTTTTTCTTCCTGTAGGCGAGGGAAGAATAGAGCCGATGGACGTGACCAATGCATGTTTTGTTTGTGGAAATGTGGGTCGTCCTGTACAAATTGAGACAAATCCCTCCTACCCTTATAACGAGGTTCTTATCTGTATTTCCTGTCATTTCTCCAAGAGTAAGCCACCTTCCACCATGACTGTACCGACCAAGCCTATATATCCCAAAAACTACCGTTGTGGCATTTGTGACAAACGTTTTCAGTTTGATTCCTTCTTACAAAGACACAAGAAAATGCATTCAGAGGTCAAGGAGTTCAAATGCCCTCAATGTGGCAGATGTTACAAGTATCGTGGGAATCTCAATGTACACCTTAAGGTCTGCAGTGGTCCTGACCAATCACAGTTCAGCAATAATTAAAGGTCACACTTGCCATCACATCCTTTACTTGGTGAGGAACAGGCTATTCTATTGGATATTGTACTTCAGCAGAAGGATGTATGGCTTAGTTTGTGTGTGTATGGCTTAGTTTGTGCGTTCGTGCGTGTGTGCATGTGTGCGCGCGTGTTGAAATTCGGTTCCAAGGTAATTTTGTTTGGCCAGTTTGTCTTGAGATACTTTTCAATGAAATAAAAAGCTAATTTTAAAGGATCTGAATTTAAGTGTTAACTTACTGCTAGAGACAGCAAAATCAAAGCTAAATTTGTTATGTATATTAGGCTGACCACACCAAAGTCAATGTTAAACACAAGCACTTGTCAATTAATTAGCAGTTATGTAAGAAATAACTTTCAGGTTCTGATAATTTCTCTCTTATTTTGAATAGGAAAGAAAGGAGTGGATGGCAGCAGTTCTTCATTGCCTTTCTATGATATAGAGCAGATGGGAATGGGCAGCTCCGAAGGAATGTTTACTGGAACGGGTTATACCATTCCTGGTCAATGTAAAATATGCTCCCTACGATGTGATGATCTGAAAAATCTTGAAAAACACATGAATGATGTACACAAGAACGACTTTGTAGGTTTTTGTGTTGAATGTGGTAAAGGCTTTAGGTCATTTTCTGGATTGCATCTTCATAAAAAAATGCATGAGTCAGACTCCCAGACTTTACCTACATGTCATGTGTGTGGAAAGCAGTTTCCGAGTCGCAGCCGACTTGTTTACCATGAACGTAGCCACTCTGAGAACAAACCATTCATCTGTGTAACATGCGGCCGCTCCTACAAACACAAGAAAAACTTGAAGGAGCACAATTGTGTCCCTATTATTTCCTTCCCTACCCCTAATACAGATCAGCTGTCTTGAGAGAGTAATTCATCTTCCTGTGGGATTTGCATTTATTTTCATACTAGGTGTTACCTAGAGACAAAATCCAAAAAGTCAAAGACAAGATCAACATCTTATAAATTGCAGTTCTGGGTCATTTGGTGTCTTGCATGTGTTTGGTGGAACATGTGATTTGGAGTGTTTTTAATGACCATTGTTAGATAACCCTTGGTACAATGGTGTGTTGTAGATGAGGCTCTTTGGGTAGGCACTGGTGATGCTGTACTTTGGGTCTGTGTAAGGTAATAGTTTTCCTTGCCTGTTTATGTGATCTTTGACTTTCTTTATCCTTGCAGGATCGGCTTACATGCCTCATTCTAGTGGTGCTCTACCTGCGAGCCATTTTGGTCAGGCCATCCCTTCCAATATCAGGGGCCAGTTTGATAATAGCCATTATGGATATTTTGAGTGCGAAGATAGTGACAAGGCATCGTCTGGTGACCATGTTCTGGTACCAGATCGAGGATCTACAAACAGCACAAACAAACCGTGTGTTTACTGTAAACTCAGAGGTATCAAAACCACCACAGGTTTACCCATCAAATCTTATTGGAAGTGTAATGCCTGTAATCTACCATTGTGTCGACCTCGTCAGCGAGACTGCTTCAGGCGGTACCATCTTCTACTTCAGAACATGGGCTCCGAGTCCCAAAACACGGGGCATGGTGACAAAGATGTTACTGGATTGTTAGCATGATTACAGACACAGTGTTGTTTGATTCAGGGAGCAAAGATTTTTCTACTTATTAACACAGATGTTGCCACAGTGAAAAAATGGAATTTTAAAACTGTATCTTTGCTGATTACAACACTTAAGTTATTTATACAAAACTTTGTCCTTCCTAAAATTAAAAGGGACTTCGTGTGTAGAAAATAATTTTGGCACGGGGCATGAGTATGGTTGAATATTGTTTATTGTGGACAGGCTGTGATGAAGTTTCAGATACTTTTTGTTTCAAGTTCAACATGAGATATTGTTGGTCTTTGATCACACAAATATGGAAGCAGCTTGTTAAAATGAAGTTACATCTTTTTGGTTCAGTTTGAGGAATATAGTTGTTGGGGACAAAAGGAATCAACATCAGACTGGAGAATTCACTGTTATTCTGTGGAGGTTTTTGGAGCCGATATCTATAATGAATTTTAAGTAGAAAATAAAGTTAAGATTTTGATAACTTTAACTAAGATGGTAAAAGCAATTGACTTTGTTATCAGGGAACTGTCTAATACTGGTCTTTCTTATGTTTTCAGAGATGAGTGGCTATGACAAAGTGTCTATGACAGCCTTGCCTCACTATGGAGTCCCGGGCCTTATGCCTTCATGGCAGGACCCCAATGTTAAATCAGAAATGAGTAGTGGTAGCGCAGCCCCCAACCCTTCCAAGGGTCTTACTCACAGAATGGTGTCTATTGAGGGCAACAAGCTACGAACCTGTGCACTTTGTTCCCTCAATAAGATAAAGACACGGTCGGGCTGGGGCGTATACACTCGGCATAAGTGCGAGGCGTGCACTGTACCTCTGTGTAAGGGGAAGCGTGACTGTTTCCAAGCATTCCACAGGGTGTTTGGGTACAAATATGAAATGTCAGGGCTAGCACAACAAACGCAAGATATCAACAGCCCTTTTAAAATGTCCAGAAAGGAAGCAATTAGGACCAGCTCCATACCATCAACACATATGACTGAGGACAGGCAGGACGCTAACCTCGTTCAATTCAAATCGTCACAATATAATTATGAATTGCCTAAAACAGATCAATATACCCAGGAATCGTCTAGCAGTGTTGCAATGCATCAGCCCAGATCAGATCAGTTTGGTCAGGACTCTGGTAGCTCTACCATGTAGCCGTTTAGATCAGTTTGGCAGGGAATCTGTCTGTTCCACATGTACCTTTCTAGATTAGTTTGGTAGGGACTGGGTCTGTTCCACATGAACCTTTCTAGATCAGTTTGGTAGGGACTGGGTCTGTTCCACATGAACCTTTCTAGATCAGTTTGGTAGGGACTCGGTCTGTTCCACATGTACCTTTCTAGATCAGTTTGGTAGGGACTCGGTCTGTTTCACATGTACCTTTCTAGATCAGTTTGGTAGGGACTGGGTCTGTTCCACATGAACCTTTCTTGATCAGTTCATGGTAGGGACTCTGGCAGTTCCATATGTACCTTTCTAGATCAGATAATTTTGGCAGTGATTCTGGAAGTGTGGCGATGTAGACATCACATCAGTTTGGTTGTGACACTAACAGTTGTACTGTGTAGAATATCAGAAAAATGTGATGTTGCTTGACCAAACATTTGATTCTGATTACGGCTGGTAGCATTAATGATGCTCTCATCCTAATTATTTCTAAGTAGAGGTTTTACTATCTGTCTTGACATCATTACTGAATGGAAATGCTATTTAGGACCTTGTAAATATTACGTTTGTTTATTTACCGTGCCAATCTTAAAGTCGGACTTCTTACTCTATATAATACAGATGTTTGTTGTTTACTTTCAGGAGCGCAGTATAGTAAGGCTAATCCCAGATATCCGTTACACAGCAATCAGACCCATTGGTATGGCATTCAGAGTCACATGCATCAGTATGGCATTGTCACTGAATGTCAAAGTTCACAATACACTGCTAGTTATGGTAACAATCAAACTTCATTAGATAAAAGTGTGCAGGGTAATTTACCCCTGAAACACCAGCTGGTACGGACTATTTCTGGAAATACTAGAGTATGCATCAATTGTTCATTCAACAAAATGAAGACCAAGTCTGGCTTTCCAATCTACACACGTTATCGTTGCCAGAAGTGTGATGTGGCTTTGTGTAATACAAAAATGAGGGACTGCTTTGACAAATACCATGAAATGATTCAGGACACACTTCCCGATGGGGATTTATGAGCCAGCATCTTGAAACTTTCCACACAAGATTACAGTGACTGAAGTTTTAGTTTTTCTGATTAAATCAATTTGTGGATTTTATACAAGATATGGAAAGCAAGGTTGTTCATGTCAAGTCGGTTTCTGTTGATAACTGGCAGAATACTCAGATTGTTTCACCATTGGAACAGCTTTCATATCACAAATAATGACCCAGAAATGAATTGAGATTGGGTTCTAGTCTTGAAAATGGCTATTTAAGCCTGTGCTCGCAGCTGTTGCTAAATGTACTTAAAAATTCCTGTCAGAGATATTTCGACATATATACAACAGACTTTTATCACTATATATATTTTGTTTGATTTATTCCTTGTTCAAGCAATATGTATATAATAAATTGCTTGATTGCTAAAATTAATCTGACGATTGTTTTTGTTGCACAGTTCTCCAAACAAGGAAGAGCAGAGAGGTTATAGGAAACTTGTATCAATGTTCCACTATGGTGATCATCCTTTTACATTTAGATGTTTTTATCAGACTTTGGTATATAAATATGTTTAAAGAAAGGTTTTCACAACATACTTAACCTAGGTCTTCCTTTACCATTTCAGGAGAAGCTGTGCAACACTATGACCCTTTCTCAAATTTCTATGCCTTTGACCCATCTAGGGATCAAGGTCGTGTGGTTGGAAGCCCAAGCCTGCCTCACTTTAAGTCTGAGGTGGCCGATTTATCTGGTGATGGTCGTCACTTGCTTGTGCGCACATATGGCAACAAGACGCAGAACTGTGCTTATTGTAATATGCTACAGGTGAAGACAAAGTCAGGCTGGCGGGTCACAACTAAACACAAGTGTTTACAATGCGACATTCCTCTCTGTCACAAACGTGGCTGTTTTCGTTTCTATCATCAGCGCGTAGGAGTCTCTAACAAAGAAGGCAATAACACCAATGTAACTAATACTCTATGATCCACCTGTCAGTTAAAAATCATTTTCCTGTTCAACCCAACTACATCAATTACTGACTATTAAGAATTATACATTATTACGATACAGGTTTGATTCTGAATGTAAAGTTTTACAATTTATATCACAAAGTACCGACTGTAAAACTTTACATGGGTATTGACTAAGCTGTTTATAGGTGCTGAGTTCGTAGCATCAGATCATTCAATTTAATTGTCATTTTGTATGTTGAGTCATGATTGAAAAGTTGAGTTCGTTTCTCAGCATATTAAAGTGACGTGTCAATGTTAGAATTATCAGTTATAGCTACATTGTTTATGAGTGAGGTGTGTATCTGATAGATCTGATATCCTTGTGTCATTAGATTACAGTTGGCATTACACAGGTGCAAACATTGATTGTGTGTGTGTGCATGCGTGCGTGTACTAGAGTGGGAGATTATAATTAACTATAAACCCATGTATATTGAACATCATATTACTAGCGATTTATTCGCAGCAGATATTCAACAGAACGTTTATAAATATAAAAAGCCAACTTTAAGAATATGAGAAATGTTTGACGTTGAGATGATTTAGATTTACAATTGTATATATGTTTCGCTTTTGGAATTAAATCTTTTGATTAAATATTTGTGTTTTTGTCATATTTGGATACTTCAGATATAAAAAAAAATTTTATACAAAATGATTGAACTGAACAAGATGTTATACACAAAAATGCAAGTCCTACTTGCTGACCTTGACACTGCTAGCTTTGATACAGAAAAGCACATTCTACATGCTAACTTCTAAGGAAATATGTTGGAGAGACCTTGGATTGTTGTAATGTCTTAAAGTTTTGTTTTGTGTGGTAGTCTTTCTAGAAAAATCTTCCCCCGGTATATGGAACCAAAATCATTCTCAGGAGTTGAACAATTGTCGTAAGTCTGTGCATGTCATGGAAACAATGAAACATCTCGGTTATGAATCATGAAACATTGGCCTTTGTAGACATATAAATGATCATTTCTATCCAAAATTGTTGCATATGTGTTCTTATCAATTTCTTGAAGCTGTACGTCTACGCAGGCCTAATGTCGTTTTTTCCTCTTACCTTTCAGACACTGCATTAAGGTCCTTGGACTATTTCAGGTCCCTGGAACATGCCCCCTATTTATATCCGACAGCGGGATCATTGTACAAGGCCCCCTCCCTCCAGATGGGCATGCCGCCGAGTGGGCCGTGGGGGGAGGGGACTGTAATTCCGCGGGAGTCAATCAGCATAACCATTGATAACAAGAAGCACTGCTGTGTGCCCTCGGAACCTTACAGAACAACCAACTGTTTGTACTGTAAACAACACAATGTAAAGACGAAGGCCGGTTGGCCTGTCACCACAAGAGCACGCTGTTCAGTGTGCAAAGTTCCACTATGTAGCAAACGTGGTTGTTTCAGTCTGTTCCATAAACAAGTGTTTAAGTTGGGAAATGAGGACGAGTCTGAAGTTGGTGTTACTGCAAATACAGAATGAAAATGTAATTGATGAAGACAGACCTTGATTTCGTTATTGAATAGAGCAGATAGATTTAGAGAAATGAGACTGCATTGATAGATATACCTAGCAGTATCATACAATAGTGTATTTATTTATTGTCAACAATTATTCTGAACGTCATTGATTTCACAGATCTAGTGAAACTGCAGAGGTCGTAGGACCATAACGTCATTGACTTCACAGATCTAGTGAAACTGCAGAGGTCGTAGGACCATAACGTCATTGACTTCACAGATCTAGTGAAACTGCAGAGGTCGTAGGACCATAACGTCATTGACTTCACAGATCTAGTGAAACTGCAGAGGTCGTAGGACCATAACGTCATTGACTTCACAGATCTAGTGAAACTGCAGAGGTCGTAGGACCATAACATCATTGACTTCACAGATCTAGTGAAACTGCAGAGGTCGTAGGACCATAACGTCATTGACTTCACAGATCTAGTGAAACTGCAGAGGTCGTAGGACCATAACGTCATTGACTTCACAGATCTAGTGAAACTGCAGAGGTCGTAGGACCATAACGTCATTGACTTCACAGATCTAGTGAAACTGCAGAGGTCGTAGGACCATGAAACAATTTGCTGATTCATGTAATATAAATCATGTAAAACAAAAGGAAATTGACTTCACTGATCTATAACTGCAGAGGTCGTGGGAATTAAGTCATACTTCACAGATCTAAAACTGCAGAGGTCTGGGCCATGTGGAAATTGACAATGGAATAAGTGAAACTGCAGAGGTCGTAGGACCATGAAACAATTTGCTGATTCATGTAATATAAATCATGTAAAACAAAAGGAAATTGAGGTATCTGTGTTATATATCCAACTTCTTGGAATTAAGTCATATTTACAGTAAAACTTCAATACTTGGCCATGTGGAAATTGACAATGGAATAAATGATGTTTTAGGGAAGTGGGAACATCCTACTCTATCTAAAACTGGGAAATAGGGAATATCCACAGTGAAGCATGAGTGTAATACCTCGTCGATTTCCTCCTCATTCTTTGAATGTCGGTCAGCTTTTCTTCTTGCTTAGCAAATCCTTCTTGAAACCTTAGTCATTTAGCCACACCACTACCATATGTAAAATCCTTCATAAAATCCTTGACGTTTTGCCACACCACTACTGAATGCCTAATCCTTTTTCAAATCCTTGACGTTTTGCCACTCCACTACCAAATGTCCATTCCTTCATAAATCCAATTAGAAAATTTGAATAAGTGCCGTGTACAGAAAGTGGTAGTATAATTATGCAGTAATTATTGGACTTCCATCTGATTTTCTCTTTATAACTTACAAACAATAGCTTGATTTGTGCTGGAAATTATTAATTATCTTGATAGTTACAAATAAATTTTCACATTTCTGATGTCTGTTATGATGGGTTTTTTTAATATACATATATGTTTCTTGATAGAGCTATCCCTATTTGAATCACAAAGATCAGAATTTTTTAGAGGTTTCCTGTTATCAGTATTGAATGAAAAGGACGTTGATTTTATAACTGATGATAAAAATGTGTGATACAACACAGGTTGATTCACATACACTAAAATAGTATCCAACTATGGAAGTGGAAATACAGTTGTTTGGAAAGAACAATGCCACCTTCAATTTGACTCGGATGTTCAAATAGGTGAGGAATTCATGCTGAAAATGTCTGCCATGAATCTGAACTGATTCTGTTCTATCGTGAACCTGTTTGGTTTTGAATCGTGTGTGCTCCAATATGGTCTTACACTGGTGCAATTGTCCCGTACTTGATATGAGTGGTCGTATATTTAACATCAGCATGACAAACATCACAACCTTTCTGTGTGTAAAATCTCTAAAAAGCAAGTTAGGCTAATCCTTTACTGTTCTGCTTTCAGACTCTTACACAGATCTTGGACAAAACTTAACCCCAGGGATTACAAGTCTGCTGCAGATAACACGCACCTACACCCCCCGGGACCACATTAGTGTGATCATGGGTAGCGTGGAACACACGTGCGTGCCCTCCGGGGGTTACAAAACTTCCCCTTGTGTATACTGTAGGATACATTCAGTGAAGACACGTGCTGGATGGGCCGTCACTACAAGGTTTAGGTGCTCTGTGTGTAAAGTTCCTCTATGTGGCAAACGAGGCTGTTTTGTCCTATATCATAGTGCCATGAACCCTACCAGCCACGAAGACACTCTCAATCCTCATTAGGACTTAGGTTCAGCCAAGGAGACACTTATAAGAACAAAAACCTATAGACATTAATTTATATAAACAGACATAATATACTACTGTAACATTTATGATAAAAGGACAGCCATCCTGTGTTGAGTCGTGTGTTTTGTGGTACTGACCTCGCAACACATGATCACCATAGCTTTCCTCGCAACTTCGGTTATGACATCTCCCCGTCACATAAGTGTTGTGGATTAGGGAAACTATTGTTGAGAAACTTTCATAATGTGCTCATCTTTCTTTCATTGCTCATATAAAAGTAAATTCATTGTTTTAGTAATGTTTATAGATCAAGATATTAACACCTGCTAGTTTATATCTTAGCTCTCAAGTTGATAAATGTCTGTATTGACCTCAGCTAAAAACAATAATTGTATGGTAAGGAGTAGGTGTGATATTTGACACGATTGTGTGACCATTATCGGGGTTTGTGGTTCGGAAGTACGTGTGTTGTGGCTATTTCTACATAGCATGATGGAGTACATCTTCTCGGGAAATAAACGTGGATTGATAATGATTTCCAGCACAAAGCTGTTTACCCACGAGGCCTTAAAAATGTACTGGATTGGAAATGAGTGGAGTTTTCTAATTACGATATTGTCTAACCTTACAAACATCCATGCTGTCAAATTTACAGAAGTGAATATAGATTCTGTTTTTGTTGATCCAGTGATTCATGTCGAGTGATAGAGGCTGTTTTAAGGACGTTCCCTCATCATATTGTATTGCTGGTCAGACCAGATGGCATTCACCGAAATGGTGTATCATGAATGCTTGACATTTTTATTAGCTTGACAATATGTAACTATTGGACTGTTGTCTTTGAACAAAAGCTGCAAACTTTTATTTTCAAAATGTAGCTTTTTCACAGCTTATGCATTGTATTTATGTAGATGTTAGGTACACATATTGGGAATAAATATAGTGTTTCAAATACTTGTGTTGTATGTATTGTTCAATATAAAGTATTGTGA